GTGGATTTGTTCTTTTTTTTTCAAACAATCTTATGTACAATCAAGGAGAGGAGAATTGCGGTGAGTTGAGAGTTTGATTTCAGAATACAATGATAAAATACGAACAGAATTTGTTGCTTTAAACTGAATAGGAACTACTGAATAGGCATCTTTATTACATTGTCCTTCTTTCTTTCTTCTTCTTCTTCCCTTTTGTCTTTCCCTCTTTCTCTTAGCAAGTTAAGGTACCGGATAGCTCAGTGGTTGGAGCGAGGCTCCGGAAGGTCCGGAAACAGGTCGAGGTCCGGAAAACAAGCCCGAGGCTTCAATTCCCTATCCGGAAATCTACTTTTTCGATTCTTTCACTTTTCTGTTATTTCTTCCTTCACTTGTTCTTTAACAGTGGAAAACAGTGGAAAACGCTCACTTCATTCGTGTTTTCCGACGCTCTTTCTTTCTTTCAAATGATTTCTTTCAAAACTACCGTAACCCATGTTAAGCTCTTTTTTAAAAATGGACGTAAAAGCCAGATTCTCCATAGGTGAAAACCCTTAGGGGGAAAATATCGAGAGTTGAGTTGCAGTTAAAATATGCAACTCCGCAAGAGTTGCATATTTTACCTTTTAACCGATAGAGCAAACGTTATTACGGAGCGTCACGTTTGCGCCCGAGAACGAGACAGACAGACTATAATAATAGAAGGAATCTACTATATATAAAGCAGAAGAGACGTCTGTCTGTCTGTTCTGTCCATCCGTCCCCCCAGACAGACGGACGGACGGACACAGACAGACAAACAGACAGATAGACAAACAGACAGATAGACAGACAGACAGACGGACGGACAGACAGACAGACGGACAGACGGACAGACGGACGGACAGACAGACAAACAAACAGCAGACCAGACAGACAGACAGACAGACAGACGGACAGACGTCTCTTCTGCTTTATATATAGTAGATTCCTTCTATTATTATAGATATTCAATTGTTCAAAGATTCAGATCAGCTTATATTCTTGAGGTCAAAGCTATAAAGTTTAGTCATCCAAAAATAAAAAGTCATCGTGAAACCAAATAATCTCTTTGAGTCTTTGAATTTTGGTCTTTTGGAATTGCAAAAAAATCCCTCAATCTGACTTACTAAAACGTTACGATCGAATTAAGAATTGCAAGATTTGTCAACCAAAAAACAGGCACTCTTTCTAACTCTTTTCTTCTGCAGATATGTGGAATGTTTGGGTGAAAGTAGCTTAGAGATTTCTTGATTGTTTCTCTTTTTTTCTTTCTATTCTCATAAATGATCTGCCACCTCAAATCCCCAATCATTTCTCCTCAAATTTCCTCAATCCTCGCCACTCACACACATTGAGATGACATTTACTAGATTCTCAATGATTGCAGCTTCTCAATGATTGCAGCTTCTCAATGATTGCAGCTTCTCAATGATTGCAGCTTCTCAATGATTCATTTGTTGATGATCAGAAATTAAATGGATTCTAGGGATTAGGTTATTTTTAGAAAGGACACTTGTTTGTTAAAACTTGTTTAGTTTAGTTTAAATTTGAGCTTATAAACAACAAAAAAATGGCTTAACTAAACGAAAAACGAATAAGAATCCAAAAAACGAAGTTATTTAGAGGTTCAAGAAAGGAAGAAAGTAGTTTTTTACTAATTTTTTACTAATTTTTTAGTAATTTTAATAAAATCTTTTATTTGAAAGGATTTTCTTTGATAAAAACTTGTATTTTAAAGAAAATAGAAATAGATTTGTAAAACTAAAGATTAGATTCTATTTGAGAGACTATAGTTGGATTTTTTTTTGGTTTTTATTAGAACTTTTGATCTTTATGAGTCAGAAAAGATCACCATCAGCTTAAATTTTTGAATTTAAACATCAAATGTTTATACAAACCTTCTAGCTTTCATGTAGTTTTCTAGAGTCATCAAAATCTCTTTCAACTCAATCTCCCAGAGATTCCAGGCTTGCCACTCTCAAGTAACAGTTATGTTGGATTGGATTGAGAGAAAATAAAAAGAAAAAAGAAAAAGAGGGAAAGATTGAGAAAAAGGAACCCTTCTTGATTCATCATGGACGACGGACGGCATACCGGTTCAGTCTTCATAGCCTTCACAGCCTTCACAACCTTCACAGACTCCCCTCTCCATTCCTTTAGACTTCCCCCACGGGCAATTTACTTTTGATATAGCTAACTCTCTTTTTCTTCTTCTTTTTCTTTTTCTTCTTCTTCTTCTTCATCTTTTCTTCTTTTTTCTTCTTCTTCTTCTTCTTCTTCTTCTTTCTCTCAGATTCTTCTAAAGGACTATTATTTGTGAATTATTGGTGACACCCGGTTTGCTAGACATTGAAATGAAGCTTTGAACGCTCTCGTTTTAATGGATGGATTCAGTACAGCTTTACTGTACAGTTTTAAACAAATTGATTGATTGATTGATTGATTTAACTGATTGATTGTTGACTATTGACTGTAATTGACTAAATTGATTGATAGATTTAGCAAAAGAATCTTTTTAATCTTGCAAAACAGTGAATTTTCTGAAATTTTCTGAAAGATTGTTGGCTTTGAGCTCTAAATTTTCAAAAATTTTCAAAAGAACGTCAAAAGTTTAATGATTTTAAGGACTTTCTAAGTCCAAGTCTTGATTTATCTAGATTAGTTATTCCTAGTTAAACTAGCTAAGTAATTCCCTTAGAAGAAGTTGAAATAGTTTTGAAATAATATCAAGGGCTGTATCAGGGTCAGATCAAAGATCTTGTTGAAAGATCAACAAGAACTTTCATCTCCAACATCTCCTTTGTCAATTTCTCTTTTAGATTACTGTATCATGAATTAGAATCTTGATATTCCATATTCTGGAGTGCATTTCTTGCAATGAACCTCGTAGAAGAGTTGAAGTTGAAAGTTTTGAGATAATATCAAGCGCTGTATCAGGCCGTAATCTTTAAGTAATTGATTAATCTAGCCTTAAGTGATTCGTTAACCTGTAAGTAATTAAGAATTGGTTAACCTAGCTTTAAGCCATGAGTTAACTTTTAAGTAATTCAGTAATGAGTTGTATCAGGTCGTAATCTTTAAGTAATTGCACTGCTTTTAGAGAGAATACGGCCTAATACAGGATGACTGAATACGGCCTCTCTAATACTAGCGCACCCTGAGCGTTGCCTAAATTCTTCGAAATCTCGAGAACCGCTTATCAGAACCTATCGATGTGGGGTCGGAAAATATAGCTGACGATGAGATCTAGTGGGGGATTAGAGTGTTGAGCTTCTGCGGAAGCTTGGGAACTGTAAAATGGTCGTCAACTCGACTCAGCGGGGTACTATTAGATAGAATACGGTAACCAAGCTTTAAATTTTCACCTTCTCCTTTCTTTTCTGATCACTTTTACCCTCTTAAACCAAATTATTGCTAGAAACTTTCCCATTCAAAAGAATCCCCATTTTTCTCTCTAAAAAGAAGCGCATCACGCAACACTTTCCTTATCAAAATGTCGCCCCGTTGACCACTTGACCATTCTGTTCCCTCCAGAATCTCCTTTATGCTTTCAGCCTTTTTAAAACCAAAAACCCTTATTTTCCATAGTTTCAAAAGGGAATTTTATCAATGTTGACAAGCTGGACACATCAATTTCTATCCTTTTTCCCCTTTTCTCAACTTTTTCCTTTCAAAGAGCGGGTCGAACACTTCACCGGTCACCAAAACTACTCAAATTACTGATTTCGGTTTTTTCTGAATGTCAATCTGTACTATTGTTGCATAATTTTAAAGAATTCAACTAGTTTTTCATTGAATTCTTTTCTATCATTGACAACAAATGATACAGAAAGTTCTAAACAAATTGTTCTAAGCAAATTGTTCTAAGCAAATTCTAAGCATTCATGCTCGAAGCCTCAACTGAAATCTTGTTGCTTTCAAGAATTCTGAGTTCTTCAAGAATTTCAAGTAAACTCCTTTAAACTTAAACTAGAATATTATAGCTTTGAAGGAAAATTGGATTTGTATCATACTAGATCTTTATTATACTGAATCTTTAGCAATTTACTACAGTTTTAACCTTTTTTCAACCTCCTTCAACCCTGTTGCAAAGTGAAAGTTCAATCTTTTCTTTTCATCTGTAATAGTATTTTGTTTTTGGAATCATCAATACTAATAGTTTTGTAAGTTTTGTGATAGTTAAGTAATAGTTAGGTAATAGTTAGGTAATAGTTAGGTTAATAGTTAAGCTAATATTTCAGCTAATTGTTTGTAATAGTTAGGCCAACATTTAAGCTAATAGTTAGGTAAGTGTTAAGCTAATACTTAAGCTAATAGTTCAGCTAATATTTTGTAATAGTTAAGCCAATAGTTAGGCTAATAGTTAAGCTAATAGTTTGTAATAGTTAAGCTAATAGTTTGTAATAGTTAAGCCAATAATTAACTAATAGTTAAGCTAATAGTTCAGCTAATAGTTCAGCTAATAGTTCAGCTAATAGTTTGTAATAGTTAAGCCAATAGTTAACTAATAGTTAGGTTAATAGTTAAGCTAATAGCTAAGCTAATAGTTTTGTAATTAGTTAGTTAACTAGCTAACTAATAGTTAACTAATAGTTTAGCCTGAATACTTACTATCCTGGTTACGGTAGCAAATTGGGACTTCAAGTTGACCCTGCTTTTTTGAGTCTTTGCTGTATATGATTTTGGCTCATTACTTTAGCCAAGCGCTATGTTAGAAACATTGTTTAACTAATTATTATTCTTTAACTTTCATCAAATTCCATGTTTAACTCAACTTTATCTTATCTATCTTTTTCTTATTTGATAAAGATAGATAAGAGATCTTATTTTATTTATCTTTATCTTATTATACTTCTAACAATCTCCTTCATTGCCTCCAATTTCCAGGTGTCCCTCTTTCAATCTTCGCCTTCTCCCCGTCAACTCCATCAAATTCTTTTCCTTCTCGCCTCCCGTCGGCTCCATTTTTATTTGAGAGAAATTTGACTGGGTGGTTTCCATGCATGAACATGGATGATTTTCTTCAGCAACCGCCTTCAACAACTCCCAACAACCAAGACAATCAGGTAAGAGAGAAAAGGGAAAAGGAGGGGAATTAAGGAATTAAAAAAGAAATTGAGGAAAAGGATAGCAGTGAAAAAGGAGATGCAAAGCTTATAACCAATTGTGAAAAGCTTAAAATACAAAGCCTATATCTAATTGTGAGTCATCAATAACCATACAACCATATAGGAAAGATAGAGTACTTTTTGAAGTTTATTATCCACTATAGAAAGGGATATTGTAATCTTGAAGGCTCCGTAAGCTTGAATTTCAAAATGTAGGCTACCGTAATGAAGTTTGGGATATGGTAATGATAAGAGCCGGATAAAGGATCAGATTAGCAAGGCTCAGCATCAGCAAGCCGGATAAAGGGTCTAGATATTGATTGAGCTGGAGCAAGGAGCTGGAGCAAGGCTAGATATTGATTGATTTATTGATTTCTTTTTGGTATCATAAAGAGAAGTGAAGGAATTGGCAAGAGAAAGTAAATTTCCGGAGACGGGATTGAACCCTCGATCTATTGCTTTCCAGACCTCGACTCTCTAATTGCTCTAACCACTGAGATATTTGGTACCTTAACTTGCTAAGAGAAAGACAAAGGGAGAAGAAGAGGAAGGGAAGAGGAAAGAGAGAGGAAAGGAAGAGGAAAGGAAGAGGAAAGGAAGAGGAAAGGAAGAGGAAAGGAAAGGAAAGGAAAGGAAGGGAAAAGAAAAAGAGGAGAGGGAGGAGGAAGAGGAAAGGAAGAGAAAGGAAGAGGAAGAAAGGAAAGGGAAGGGAAGGGGGAGGGGAGAAAAAAAAAAGGAAGAGGAAAGGAAGAGGAAAGGAAGAGGAAAGGAAGAGGAAAGGAAGAGGAAAGGAAGAGGAAAGGAAGAGGAAAGGAAGAGGAAAGGAAGAGGAAAGGAAGAGGAAAGGAAGAAAGAAATCCCTGGGTCTTCAGATGAAGTTAGGAGTTCAGAAGTTCTTCAAGAAACAAACGTGAAACTTTGACGTGTTACTTATCACCTAACATTTACAATGTCAAATTTAGATTAAGTTCTAGATTTTCATTTGCATTTTCAATCTTTTATTTATATCTAATATTAAAAATTGAATTTAGATGAGTTTCCCGGGCGTTTTCCCGCCATTCGGCTCTGAATTTGGCGTTTTTGATGATCACAAGGGCACAATAAACAACAATCAACCGCCATTGAAAATGGTTTGCTTATTTAACTCAAATCTATTCCCAGCAATTTCAAAATCGTTTCATTGTGCAAATTTTGAGACTCATCTTATCAAATTGACCTGCAAAAAGTTCAAAACTCTTAAAAAATCGCTTTCAACTGTTATCTTGACCTGAACCTTTTTTCAAAAAATTTCGTTTAAAGAAATTTTAAGAAAACAAAGAGCTTTTTTATTTAGAAATAGAGAAATAGGAAAATTGAGAGTTTTAAAAAGATATTGTTCTCATAAAGTACTTGCAAAGTATTGCAATATAAACATAAATCTGTGGTATAAACAATACAAAAGCCAGCCTAAATCTAGCTTAAATCTAGCTTAAATCTAGCTTAAATCTAGCCTAAATCTAGCTTAAATCTAGCTAAATCTAGCTTAAATCTAGCCTAAATCCTAAGCCTTAAATGTAGGGAAAAACAATGGGAAAAAAAAGCAATAATCTAGCCTGGCAATAATCTAGCCTAGCAATAATCTAGCAAGGATTCAATCCTAGACCTCCCGAGTAAAATACAAGCCTCTTAGCCAGTCGGCTATGGCGGCAAAGCACTTGAACCTTGAAACACTTGAGTTTATGACATCAATATCTGCTTTTTCTTGAGTTTTAAAAGTTAAAACAGTGAAGAATATGGGAACTTAGTTCTAATTAAAGATCTAATTTAGTTCCAATTAGACTTGCTTAACGAGACAGATCAAAAAATCGGATCGTGCAACTCCAGGCGCCTCGTCTAGTCTCCAGAGTATCGGATTTCAATGAACTCTTTTTCATTTAAAAACCAAGATTTTAAGCTATCTAATGAAATTTATTAGTTATGTTTTTCTTTTGAAAAAGTGGATCAAAAACCTCATCGAGAATTAACGAGATAACGAAGAATTGTCTCGTTAAGTCTCGATAAGGTTTATGATCCACTTTTTCAAAAGAAAAACATAACTAATGGATATCATTAGATAGCTTAAAATCTTGGCTTTTAAATTATAAAAAAGTTCATTGAAATGCGATACTCTGGTAGCTAGATGAAGCGCCTGGAGTTGCGCGACCCGATTTTTTGATCTATCTCGTTAAGCAAGTCTACTGTTCAGTCATTTTTTTCTTTAAAAAATTTTCTAAAAGGTTTCTAATGGCTACCGTAGTTCAATTACCATCTTTAGTTTGAGCAAAAGACTTTAGACTTTAGGAGACTTTAGACTTACGGTAGACTTTAGCGTTTTAGAGAACGCAATTCCTCGTTATCACGTTAATTCTCGATAATGTTTTTGATGCACTTCTTCAAAAGAAAGATATAAGTAATGGATATCATTAGATAGCTTAAAATCTTGGCTTTTAAATTAAAGAAAAGTTCATTGAAATCCGATACTCTGGAGGCTAGATGAAGCGCCTGGAGTTGCACGATCCATTTGACCCCAATCTTCATTAAGCGAGTCTAGTTCTAACTATAAATCTTGACTTCTAGAATGAGCCAGCTCCTCCACCACCAGTTGTCATTTGTCCAACCGAAGTTGATCACATCAACATCACTTTGGAAAAGAATCAACAATGCGCTTGCAAAGATTGCGGAAAACTCTTCAATTCTGTTTGGTAGGTGAAAATTGAGAAAAATAAAACTATCTGATAAGATCAAAATCATCTAGTAAACCAAAATTATTTGATCATTTCAAAATTCTGAACCTTAGAGAATAACCTTAGAGCTCAATTTGTTTTAAATATGCTTTTCAGGTACCTGAAACAACATGCCGTCAAGCACTCAAACGATCGTCCGTTCAAATGCAAATTTTGCTTTAAAACGTACAAATTCCGGTCAAATCTCTACCAGCACAAGTGCCCAGATCGACAAAAAAGCGGACAACAAGGGTGAGAGTTTAGAAATTGATTTAAGGTATAAAAATAGTTTTCAAACTATTTTTAAACTCTCTTTGTCTTTGTCTTTTACGTTATCGTTGTCGAAAACAACGAACGTTGTCGAAAAATCAGCTACAACAATGAAAGAGCTTTTGTCATAAAAGGAATTGAACTGGAGCAAAAGAGTGCGAAGCTAGCTCTAGAGACAAGCCACCTATCCACTAGGCCATCACGGGGATCTGGTAGGTACAGTACTGGACAATGAAATATCATATTTGAAAAACGATCGTCACTTTCGCGCGCGCTGAAATCCCTCTAAAATTACCGTATTTCTAAATATTAATATTACCATTGTGTAGCCCTTGAAAAGAGCTTTCAGAAAATGTATAACACTAATAGTTTAAACTCAAAGACAATGAAGTTACAGACGTGTGAGGGTGACGATCGTTTTTCAAATATGATATTTCATTGTTCAGTACTGTAGGTGTGGTAGGTAGGTGTTCGCGCCACAAATAGATAGATGCCAAAAACTTTTTTGCTAAATATCTCGCATTTGCATGCCATTTAGGAAAATCTAAAAGCAGCATCGGATTCCCGGTGAAAAACTGCACAAGATGGTCTAAGTCTAGTCAAGGTTAGTCTAGGCAAGTCAAGGCAAGATTCCGTCTAAGCCTAGTCAAGATTAGTCAAGGCAAGTCAAGGCAAGTCAAGGCAAGTCAAGGCAAGATTCCGTCCAAGTCTAGCCAAGGTTAGTCTAGGCAAGTCAAGGCAAGATTCCGTCTAAGTCTAGTCAAGATTAGCCTAGGCAAGTCAAGGCAAGATTCCCACCTTGAGTCAGCGGCCTTCCTTGGTAGGCCATTGTTAGCCAGTGGGCCATTGTTTGGAAGCTTCTAAGATTGGTTGAATTAAGTTTTCAGGCATTTTTGTACTTACAATGTAGTACATATAGTAAGATACGGTAAAATACCATTTCCCCAGAGCAAATCTCGTACATTACATCTGTAATTAAACAAATTTTCATTTTAAACTTTTCCATTTCACAATTTCCATGCAAATAATCTTATGCAATTGTAATGAAAATGAAATTAAAGTAATGAAATTCTCCACAAAGCTTGATATTTAGACGTAAACGTAAATCCTAGAATAGCAAAACTTGTTAGAAAGTGTTTGGTGTGCTCACAAGGCTTTGATCTTTTTGATTTGTTTGATTTGTGAGTTAAGATCGTCTTAAACTTTACCTTTCCTAAATTTTGTTAAACATTTACATCTATCTGATCTTATCTGCTCTTATCTGCTCTTTATCTGATCAAAGCTTTAAAAGAATTTCCCCCAAAAACTCCGACTTGACGCAATGAAGTCAGATTCGTTTCAAGTGGAGGAAAGGACAAGTGCAAACACTTTTTGTGCGGGTTTTTGTTGGGTCTTGAAAGAATGAAAAGAGAATTGTTCCTCTACAAAAAGTGTGAAGGAGCTTTGTGTCTTTTTTTGGAAACAGTGCAAAAATGGAACGGAAACACCCATTTAAAATCGATTCAAATTAGAATCTCTGCTCTTGAATTTCTGAATCAATCAATTGAATCAATCAATTTGAATCAATCAATTGAATCAATTTCAATCAATTTCTCTTCTACTATTATTTTAAAATGTTTTGCAACTTGGTAAGTCATTGAATGCTCTTTTTAAAGTTAAAGCCTTTCTTTAAATTCAGTCATTCAACTTCTCTAATGAGCTAAAAGCTTTTAAAACTTGTATTTTACGGGAGACCGTAGTCATAATGATTTCAAACTGACTCAAGCAAACTGTCTCCTTCATTCAAATTCTCTAATGAGCAAAAAGGTATTAAAAGTTGTATTTTTTAAGGTATACTGTAGTCAAACTGGTTACGAAACCGCTAGACTTATTTTCAAGAAATAAGAAACGTAAAAAGTGCAGAAACGCAAAAGGGTCGCATGACCGGGAATCGAACCCGGCCGATGAGCAGCAGCCCCAGCCCAGGAGGCGAGCAATCTACCACTGAAGTGCTAGAACAGTGCTTGTTTGCTAGCCGGTGAAAGAGAGATTTATCAAGTTTGCTTTTCAGGAAGAACTAATTTTTCAAAATTCTTAAGCACATGAATTCGTCTTCCAAAAGATGGGTAATTTGGAAAGTTACCGTAATTTTTTCTTCAGATTTTACTATTTGATTTGATTATTCGATTCACAGTTTGATTCCACAGAACGAGATCACAATTAAGTAAATCGAGAAAAGATTACGGTAGTTTTTCAACTACTTAGAAGACGGCCTTACTTAGGAACTTGACTGACTGACTTACTGGCTGACCTACTAGCTGACTTATTGAGTGACTTACTGACTGACTATTGATTGGCTTACTGACTTACTAGCTGGCTTACTAGCTGATTTACTAGCTGACTTACCGGCTAACTTATTGACTGGTTTACTGACTTACTAGCTGATTTACTAGCTGACTTACTGGCTAACTTATTGACTGGCTTACTGACTTACTAGCTGACCTACTATCTGACTTACTGGCTGACTTATTGGCTGACTGGCTTACTAGATTACTGACTGACTTACTAGCTGACTTACTAATTGACTTACTAGCTGACTTATTGACTAACTTACCGCCTGACTTATTGACTAGAACTTTACAGCCATATTTTGAACACGTTTTTCTATATTCAAGTAAACCCGTTTCCCTTTCAGCATAATCCGTCATTCCGTTTTCATCATGAAAAATTCGCAAATGCATCAAAACATCAAAAATGAACCCTGTTTTCCCCTTTTCTCCCATAAAAACAACAAAGATTCAGTCCATTCCCCTGTTTTTTATTTGCATATTTTATTTTAGCTGAAAACGAAGTCATTATTGATTTAAACATCACTCCACAAAACTTTAAATTCCTTGATTTTGAGCTTATTTTGAAAGCCTGCGCTTGAAGAAGTTGAAAATCGATAATAAAGAGGTTTTATAACTTATTGAATTAAAATCTAGCAATTTCTACATTTCTTGAAGAATAGGATGAAAAAAAACGTTAGCGTTCAGCTTAAATCACATTCAAATTACATTCAAATTGCATTCAAATTTTCAGTCGTCGTCTCATGCGTGGCAATGGACTTTTGTCACCGACGGCGAAACGACAAGAGACCAATCAACTACTCAAGTCGAGAATCGAAGCTAATATGAATGGAGATGAGATCAATGCAAATCAACCACCACCGTGCGTTTATCTTTTTCAAAAAACGGTCCGATTTGAATTCAATGCTACCATAATCTTGTCCTTTATTCTAGCTAACGCAATCTTGTCTCTTTATCATAGCTAGCATAACCCTGCCTCTTTATTCTAGCTATCGTAATCTTCTCCTCTTATCCTAGCGGCCGTATCTTGTCCTTTACCTACCTACCGTCTACCGTAGCTACCGTCACTTGTCTCTTTATCTTAGCTGCCGTAATCTTCTCCCTTTATCCTAGCTGCTTGTCTTGTCCTTTATCTTAGCTACCATAATCTTATCCCCTTATCCTAGCTACCGTAATCTTGTTTGTACCCTTTATCTCTTGAACTGATTTTGTGGGGAAAAGATAGATATCCTAACAAGAATCTAACGGTAGTTCTTAAAAAGTTTGGCAAGAGTACGGTAGTTTTAAAAAGTTTATATGAAAACAGGTTATTTAAAGGACAGCTCTCTAACTAAAAGAGTATAAAAATGTCTCAACCTTGACTTTTCTCGGCTTCAATTCTTAGTTAGACTAGTTAAGATGCAAGAAGCAATCGATTTTATCAGTGAAACTGAAAACTACCTTTCTCATAGTATAGTGTTTCTCATAGTGAAACTACCTTTCTCATACAATTTACACAATTTTCCATAGGCAACTTGCAATTTTGGATGGAATTGACACATTGTGGAAATGAGAAATGAGGAGCAAAAGATCGCTAGATATCTCAGAAAAATAAATTTTTTGTGTTCAATCTTCTACACGTGAAGCTTTTGGCTAAAATCAAGCGAAAACAGAAAACCAAATTTTTATCATAAACGTTTTAGGCCAGTCGGCATCACGGCAATTCCGACGGAAAATGAGGAAAACGATGCGCCGCTTCCGTTTGGATTGAATATTCGAATTGAGTCGACACAAATGTGGCAGGTAAACGAATTTAGAATTGAGAAAAAGTGGGAAAGAAACAAGACTGAGATACTGTAAAGTTTCAATTGTCGATCTCTTTCAACTTCAGAATATTAACAAGCATTCGTTAGCGGAAATCAATTGTCCGTTTTGTTTATTCGTAAATTTCTTTAAAAGTTTCTTTACAAATTTCTTTATTCTTTAAAAGCCTAACTATTAGATTGGTGCACAAATGTACGTTTTTAATGTACGTTGATGCACAAATGTACGTTTTTAATGTACGCTGGTGCACAAATGTACGTTTTTAATGTACGTTGGTGCACAAGTGTACGTTTTTAATGTACGCTGGTGCACAAATATACGTTTTTAATGTACACTGGTGCACAAATGTACGTTTTTAATGTACGTTGATGCACAAATGTACGTTTTTAATGTACGTTGATGCACAAATGTACGTTTTTAATGTACGCTGGTGCACAAATGTACGCTGGTGCACAAATGTACGTTTTTAATGTACGTTGATGCACAAATGTACGTTTTTAATGTACGCTGGTGCACAAATGTACGCTTTTAATGTACGTTGGTGAACAAATGTACGTTTTTAATGTACGCTGGTGCACAAATGTACGCTTTTAATGTACGTTGGTGCACGAATGTACAATTTTAAGATTGAGACAAAGTGAGACAGAACTTTTTCCCCAAATTTCTTTTAAAAATACGCCACCAACAGGATTTCTATTTAAACTATTAAAAAGATTAATTGTTTCTGTGCAAAATGGCTTTTAAGAGATTTTTAGAAGTAGTTGTTTTTGTGGATTTTCAAAGGCTCAAAGGCGAGCCCCAAAACTGTCCGATGCCGACTTTTCTTGTCGACTTTTGACCACTTTCTTCAATACAAACCTATTTTAGTGTAAAAGTAAAAAAGCTAGAGCTCATTTGATTCCATAAGTCTGTAAAATTTGAAAACGATCCGTTTAGCGGTTTTCTTTAAAACAACAATTGAAAATTTTACATAGGACTACAAGCCGACAATCACCCACAAGAAACCAGTAGTTTACTTCACGAGATTTTATCGATTGTTTAGCATTGTTTAGCATTGCTTAGCATTGTTTAGCATTGTTTAGCATTGTTTAGCTTCAGGTTATGTCTAGAACTTTCAGCCACCACCACCCCCGCAGATCCAGATCGAGCCACCGCCAGAGCCGAGAGACTGTATCCGAGAACAGCAACTGCCACAAGATGAGATCGATTCGTACATTTCGCAGAATAAGGTATTACAGTGCTGCTTCTAAACACGCTAATTAATCCAATTAAATCTTTCTTATAGTTGCTAATTCCTCGTATTCCTCGCAATCTATCGTCCTCGTAGATCTATTATTAGAAATTTCTCAACCTTTAGACCCTTTTAGTTCTTTCTGAAAGCAAAACTTGATAAGTGACTCTACCAAGACGGTGAGACAAGTGCCGGTGGTTCAGTGGTAGAATCCTGGTCTGCTAATCAAACTGGGGACAAGATACGGCCGCTAGGATAAGGGGAGAAGGTTACGATAGCTAGAATCAAACTAATCAACTCTCCCCGGGTTCGATTCCCAGCAATCCCAAATTACAACCCTTTTTGCGTTTATGCACTTTTTACGTTTCTTATTTCAGCACAAACTCTTCTCCTGTCGCAAGTGTAAACTTCTTTTCCCATCAGAACAATCATTGCAGAGACATAACACGGTTCACGTTTTTGAGGAGGTAAGCGGAAATGATTGGCTATTGTAAAGGAAAAATTCAGACATATTGTTACGCGTGCTCGAATTGTCGTGAAGCGTTCACAAATGAGAAAGATCTTCGCAATCACGTGATGCATCACTCACAGCATGGACCATGGAAGTGTGACTCTTGCGCTGGAGCATTCAGGTTTGAGTTTTGCACAGTCAATCAGTGAACTGAATGGCTTTGAAATGATGCTTGATAAGGATTAATCGGCCTAAATAATCCTGAGAAATGGAGAGAGAAAGCTCTCAAGTCAAATCCTTTCCATTGCTATACTAGATTGGTTTAACGGGAAGTAGAATTTTGCATCAACTAAGCTAAGCTAAATTTGGGGCAGCAATTGATATAGAGTGACGGGCAGAGTGACGCCCATAGCAGTAAAGCTAAATCAGAGCTTCCCGCTCGTTAGACCCCAACCTTTGGAAACGCTTAGTGGCGGCAGTAGATAGGAAACAAAAGGAACAGCTATCTATCGGCGACGTGTACCAGGCGGCGAGCGATTGCCCCACCAAGAACACCTCGCCAGTCATTCATATTGATTTCTTTTGCTTTGTAGATTCTGCAAAAGCTGTAAATTGGTACCCGGGGATTTTCGGGGTCCAGGAATCGATTGGCCATATTGATTTATCAAGTCTACCAATGAACAAACAACAAACAACAACAAACAACAAACAAACTTTCAGAACAAACATCGCCCTTCGCCGTCACCAGGATGCCAGCCTCGAGTGTACTTTCTATCCATTCGGAGTCGAGCCAGAATTGGTAAGAAAAATAGGCATTCATTTCTTCAAACACTTAAACATCTAAAAATCAGAATCTTCAGCTCCCATCACCGACTTTCCCACTCGATCCATATGCTTTCATCACTTCACCAACGGATCTCCTCATTCGTCCCACTTATGATGAGTTAGATCGTGCGCGTGGACCCGATTCGGGATTAGGATCCGAGGCTTCTCCTAGATCACACGCAAGTCCTGAACTGCCCGTCTTGCCCGGCGATGAAGATCTTGATGAAGTGCTCTTCGGAAAGAAACCGGCTAAACGAGAAAAGGTAGTGAATGTAGCCAATTGTACATCCCAAATATTCAAAATTAACATTCAAAATTACTTTATAAATCTTCTTTTAGACTCCTTTAGTTAGAAAAATAAACGCAAAAATGATTGCACCGGCCGGGAATCGAACCCGGGCCGCCCGCGTGGCAGGCGAGCATTCTACCACTGAACCACCGGTGCTTGTTTTCCGGGATTGAAAGAGAGACTTATGAAGCTTTGTGTCAAAAAGAACTAAAGGGATGATCTTGATGATAATTCAGGATGATGATGAAGACTCTGGTTTCCGTTCTCGTCTTAATTCAATGGCTGGTCATTCTTCATGTTCTCCCCGTTCATCCCATTCCTCGTCAGACAGCTCAAGCTCTCCGCAACGAAAAATGTCAAATGGACAACAAGGAGAGGCCATCAACGAGCTGTCGTTTGGAGGTAAACATCTAAAAGTTTTCGACTTCAATGTAAGTTTTCTATTTCAATGTAAATTGACATTGAATAGTACAAACAGTACTAAAATAAACTAACAGTACAAACAGTACTTTCTAGCGTAACCGACATCACTTTGTTTAAACAACGTGCGCTTTTTGGAACTTAGAGCCATCAGAAATAGCTGAGTGGAAATAGCTGAGTGGGGAATGCTGAAATGAGCTGAAAGATTGGTTAAAGACTTTGCAAAAAGGATATTATAATAAAGAGTAGCAAATTCAGCTGAAGTTGTCAACCAAATCTTCCCATTTCTCGAATTTTCAGATCTTGGCACTGGTTATGGCTCTGGACCAGCCTATGGTACGATGATATCTCATCATTTCGGGCAATCCGTTGGTGGTAGCAGTAGTGGAGGGCTATCGTTCTCAAATCAACCAACCGATTCCGATTTTGGACTTTCGATTGAGCCGATCGAGCCGATCGAGTTTCGACAAGTCGGCCCGACTCAAATGATGATCGCTCCGAGGATCTCATTCATTCCCGCTGTACATAAAGGTTGGAAAAGCCACTGATTTGAGGCAAATGGTTTGAGGCAATTGTAAGAATGGTACAGATTGTACAGATATTTGCTGGCAAGAGCACTGCTTTGCAAACTTATTATATGGTAGCTTTGATCACGGTATATCAAATTCATTTTAGCTACTCTCACCCTAAAAACTTTCCCATTTTGCTATAGAAAACCCCAATTCTTTGAGATTATGTACTTTGATTCAATTTCTAAAATCTAGACTAGACATTTCCCCTCAAAGGGCAATAATATTGATATTTTCAAATCCTCTAAACAGGCAATATCGTTTCAGCTTTGTTTGTGCCCACAAAAATCGATCGAGTGCTTCTCTCGGATTTCTCAGTGTTTACGGCTGTAGCTGAGCAATCGACAGACAAGCCACCATTTGATGATCCGAGTGAAATCACAGAAAAACCGAGAATCGAGAATGAGTAAGGCAGAAAAATGAAAAGTTACTTGTGGAAAAAGAAAAGTTCTATAATGTAATGAGTTCTTGTTTTTAATACAAATTTGTTTGATGGAAAGGGTTAGGTAACTTTTCTAAGGAGCTAAAAGCTTGCTGAAGTTGCTAGAAAAGTTCTGAACTTTCTAGAAAAGTTTCCGAACTTTCTGGAGCTTCTAGAAAGTTTCTGAACGTTCTAGAAAAGTTCCGAACGTTCTAGAAAAGTTTCTGAACGTTCTAGAAAAGTTCTGAACGTTCTAGAAAAGTTCTGAACGTTCTAGAAAGGTTCTGCACGTTCTAGAAAAGTTCTGAACGTTCTAGAAAAGTTCTGAACGTTCTAGAAAAGTTCTGAACATTCTAGAAAAGTTTCCGAACTTTCTGGAGTTTCTAGAAAGTTTCTGAACAAACTTGTCACCGAATGGTCACGAAGTGAAATACTTTCTATTACAATATACAATATTCAACCAAAAGACTAATAAATCTTTCAAACTCTCAACCAAAACCAGACCAAAATCGATCTTTGACCTGCTTTTCCTTGTCTGCTCTAAAATTTCTGATCTTAAAACAACCCTGATCCTCAAGATCTCATAAAATAACTCTTCTTGATCAAATTAACCAGATCAACATTCATTAATTTGATTCTTTTCCAGCCTTCTCCAATCTCTTCTCATCAAGGCCATCTTTGAGACGCTCATCTCCGCATTTTGTGAGTGTTTTTTTAAAGAAATTTTGTGTTCATCAAAAACTGTGGCAAGGCTAATTTTTTACAAAACGATTGAGCGGTTATCTGACTCAAAAATCTCATCTCAAAATCTTCAAAAAACAAAATGAGAGAAAGAGTGTCTAGACCGTTTAAATCTGAGCGCTCTTTGAATGCGATTTTGATTTGAAATGGAAATTTTTAACTCAAAAGCTTATGTTTTATCGTTTTCGAGCTTTCCCCTCGTTCACCAATCGATTTCCGATCCAAAAACGCACGCGGTTCTTTGTCGCTTTATCAATGAAAAGAGGAAGACTCAAATTACAAATAAACACACCGTTTGAGTGATAAAACTTGCAGTGAGCTTTGAGTTTATTACGAAATTTGATATGATTTAGAATAGTTGATGGATAATTTTGCTGTGATAATGCTAAATAATCAATCGGATTTTCCAAGCAAGGTCTAGAACTTGTAAGCCAGGACAGGCTTAAGACTGCCAAGTCTAACAGTAAGCAAGGGAAGATCCAGGATTGCCAGGTCTAACTCTATAGTAAGCTAGGGAAGGCCTAGCAGTACCAGGTTTAACTCTATAGTAAGCCAAGGCAGACCCAGGACTACCAGGTTCAACTCAACAGTAAGCTAGGGTAGATCCAAGACTGCCAGGTCCAACTTCAGTAATCCAGGGAAGATCTAGGATTGCTAGATCTAACTTTAAAGTAAGCCAGGGTAGATCCAAGGCTGCCAGGTCCAACCCTACAGCCAAACAAAACCAAAAGCCATAAAAAGCCAGAAAACCTAATCCCTGTTTACCACGTTTGGCCCAATTTCCCTCTAAACCCTGTAGACTATTTTTACTATGTTATAATACTGTTATAATGGTGTGTAGAACCACACCCCAGCTATGCACCCATTTCAAAGCAATCTTCTCAGCTTGGTTCCAAGGTTTAAACAATCATCCCTTTTTCCACCTCAACCCTTTTCCCTTTTCCCCTTTTCCCAGTAACACTTAAGTCACTGATCAATATTGACGGAGAGAAAGGGGGAAAATCGAGAGCAGTAACTCTTCTGAAAGCAGTCTCACCAAAAGGTTTTTTTTTGTGTGGAAGGGGAACCTATGAAGAACTTGAGAGAAAGAATTGTTAGAGAGAAAAGGGGAGAAATGCGTCAGAGTGCTTGTGTATTGAAGTCGAAGATGGGTGAGGGGAGGGGAGGGGAGAGGAGGGGAGGGGTTGTCTCTCCCCATCACATCAGTGCCATCGTTTACCCCATTGAGTGTTTTCTCCTTTACTCCTCCCATTTCATTCAACCTGTTGACCCGAAAAGTTACCGTGTCCTCTTATGCTTTTTTAGATTCCTTTGAATCTGAAAATTTGCTTATAAACTCAAGGTGTCTTGAAAACACATACAAAACTTTGCACACTTATAACTTTTGACATAGAGCTTCATAGCAGAAACGGAAAGCAGATTCAGAATCGACGTTGAATTCTGCGTCGAATCGTATAAGTCGCATAGCATTTGACCGACCCAGCTAGAAAGTAAGATAGCTTTTCTTTTAAGGGGATCTCTATTTTGGTCTTGATCTCTATTTTCGATAAATTTTAGAGTTAAAGGTATAGTTTTGAATGTTCAATTTGAATGTTCAATTAAATCTATCTAGATTCTTAACTTACTCTGATGTTTTCAGAGTGAGTTAGTTCAGTTTTACAAGGACAAGGCTAGATAACTTTTCACAGACAGATCTTTTTCTTTTCCTGTGCAATCCTGGGCTTAAATTAGTTGCTACCTTGCCTATTCTTTACAATGTTACAAAAAATATAAAGATTAAGTGTACCAGAAAGAGTGTTTTTTTTACTATTGAGCACAAAGAAGAGATTTACTAAAAGCGCAGCAAAGTTTTCATCGATTTTTATCATTTTTTCATTTCTTTTTTGGTGCAACTTTTCAAAAACAAGCCAAATTTCTTGTTTAATAGAGATTTTCAGTTTCTTTTTGATTAAAATCTCCCCAAAAACTAAACAATAAAATGATCTTTATCTGATCTTTACTTTAATCTTCTCCACTTCCTCAAAATCTATCCCTAACTTTTGCGATAATCACTCAAACATTGAAACTTTTTTTGACAGAACAATGAAATCTTCTTTCATCACCAAAACGTTTGCCCCCAATTTTATGGATCTTTGTAGGAGTCCTGCTCATAAATTTCCCCAAATCCTATTGTGAAAGCTATTTGGTGAATGAAATGGGATAAACAATTTGGGTGAAAGGGAAAGAGATCTATGGGAAATTGATCGCTTTTGACGATAAGCAACGAATACAAGGACATAAATCGCGTTTTCAGCTTTCGTTAGATGTCCGGCTGAGATCTCGCAGCTTTTGATCCCATCGCTTATTTAGACATTCAGTGCTTTTCTCCTTCACTAGATCTGATTGTGAACGTCGATAGGTGTCCAACGGAAAAATGCCATATCTAAGCCGATTTCACTTCAATCTTTTTGATTTTGATATCAATTGACGCAGAATTTCATTTTCTATCGATTGAAATCAAAGACGAAACGATTGGAGTAAAGATTGGCCAAGAGATGGCATAGAAATTTTGAACAATGAAAATACGCCTATTCCCGAACATACAGTCTAATTTGCTTTAGACATTTGAATTGTCTAGAACTCTAGAATTAGTTTAGAACTTTCTAGAACCGGTGGGCAAGTGTATATAAGAATCTGTGCTAGCTAATGTGTCTCTCTAGAGCTAAGACTAAATACTTAAAAGTTCGATTTAAATCACTAACAAGACAACTTTCTAAAGAGACTTTTAACCATTGAAACTTCTGTTGGACATGATGAATACTGCTTTTATTTTTTGCCCACAGGCCACTAGGGCAGATCAATAATTCATGCGCCGCCGGGATTCGAACCCGCGACCTTTCGCTTACCGGGTAACTGTGCTAATCATTACGCCACCACGCACCGGACCTGCTTTACTACAGAGGAAGTTAACTCCTAGCTTTCGAGGAAAGCGAATCCAAAGTTTCGACCATTTTCGGCAACCTTAGCTATAAGGGGCTGCCTCGCAGAGGGGAACACATGGAGCGGTGGTATAGGGGATAGTATTGCGGGCTGTCAAACTGGTTTAGTCCCTCGACGCGGGTTCAATTCCTGTCGCCGCCTTCATTTTTGCTTTTTTTTTCTAAAAGCTGTAAACTTGTTAGTCTCTCAACAGAATACTGTATTTCTAAACTAAACACTGGAATTAGAGTACAATAGCTTACACTTACAGTACACTAGCTAATTACAGTACACTAGCGTACTTCTCAATCCCCTAACAACCATGTTCACCTTTAAAATTACCCATAATCAATCACCCACGAAATTCCGGGAAATTTGGGGTGTAAAAACAAGAAAGTGGGATAGATTTATTCGAATTGAGATCGCTTGGATGTTCATTTCTCTTTTTTCTTTCCTTTCTTTTCCTATCTTTCCTTTCTTTTCCTTTCTTTCCTTTCTTTTCCTTTCTTTCGCGATCCAATATCCCATCCCCTATCTCGAATGGTCGACGTGAAGGAATGCACAAAAACATTCCCCATTTCTTTTCAAAAGACTTAATTCTTTTTTTTTCACCAAGTTAGCATTCGAATTTTCGATCCAATACTCGTGTCAAACGATTCATTCGCTAAACTCTTTGATTTTCGACTTCTAACACGAAACAGATGATCTTTGTTAAGCATTCTTTCTAGATTTTTGATTGCTCCAAGAAAAATCACATTGCTTATCATTGATTAGCCCAAATCGCTTAATTTGATAGACTGAGTGGGAAATTGTGTTGACAAGATAAGATTGAAACTTTTAAACTTGAAAAGCTTGTGGTCTTGCAGTCACTACAAAACAATACAAGAAGTCTTGCAACCATTTTCCGCTGGGACTTTTATAACACTGGGATAGGAACTTTAAGATCGAGGCTTTAAGCTCTGGAGTTTAAGCTCTAGTATTTAAGATCTGGACTTTAAGATCGAGACTTTAAGATCTAGACTTTAAGCCCTAGAATTTAAGCTCTAGGCTTTAAGCTCTAGAGTTTAAGATCGAGACTTTAATATTTAGACTTTAAGCCCTAGACTTTAAGCCCTAGACTTTAAGCTCTAGTATTTAAGATCTAGACTTTAAGCTCTAGACTTTAAAATCTAGACTTTAAGCCCTAGAATTTAAGTTCTAGAGCTTAAGCTCTAGAATTTAAGATAATTACTAAAGTATAGTAAATCTAAAATTCTTTAACCTTTTTCAAAATCATTTTTTAAAATCAGTTCTTCATCGTTCATTTGGCTGAAATGACTCAAATGACTCAAAAAAATAAACAACAAAAAACGCTCACCAAATTTGAGACTTCTTGCATTTTCGCTAACTATTTTAAGACTAAAAATCTAACTTTAAACTAAAAGCCACTAAATAGGCAGTACTTTTTTGAAAAGTTCAGCTCCAAGATAGCTGTCTGTCAGCTCCAATATAGCTGCTCCAATATAGCTGTCTAGGAATGCAATAACTAAATAAATCCCATCACAAATTATCTAGAATTCAAGGTGAACAGTAAATAAATGTATATTCCATTATCCTATTTTTTATAGAAATCCAATTTTTGAATCGAACCCTAAGTGTTTGAGTGTATGTTTTCCCCTCTCCTTCCGACTCTTTTTTTTTGCATTCGGTGAGTCGGCAACGAGGAACCCCATCTTTTTTCCCCTTCTTCCCCTTCTTCCCCCTTCTTCCCTTCTTCCCCTTCTCCCCCCTTTCATCCATCTCTATTGTACCCCTCTTTCTTTTTGCTTTTCTCTTGCTTTTGTCATACCATTGAATCTCTGATAGTTTTTCCTTCCAAAAATCTTCTTTGACATGGGAGATCAACACTTTTTGAGAGCAATTGCATGGGTAGAGCCGAGTGGATTGGATTACCGTATTGTTTTTTTTTCATCTAGCTGTTGTACTTGATTTATTGACGCATTTTCAGCGTTTCAACATCCAGT